TGCTGTTGAACAGGGAATTACCTTCCATTTAGCTGGCTAACAATATACTTTTGAACTATGAAGGCATTCTGAATGGTGGACAGTCAACTATCATCTGCTTTAATCTCTATTGCATCCTACTCATCTTTACACCCAACATACAAAGTTCTTACCATGTCCCCCACTGGAGAAACAGAGGCTGCATCCACACGGGCATGAAAGATCTTGCTGCTGTGGTGCATGCCCTTGCAACAGCTAAATTAGATGCCAGCATAGCTGAAAGACCTCCTACTCCCATATGAACCTACCTGATCACTAGAGGCATCTTCAGAGGCTCTGCTTAGAGCCAGTTTGGTATAGTGGTTAAGTGTGCGGACTCTAATCTGGGAGAACCAGGTTTGATTCCCTACTTCTCCACTTACAGCTTGGGCAAGCCATAGTTCTGTCAGAGCTGTACTCTCAAGGACAGTTCTGGAAAGAGTTCTCTCAGCCCCACCCACCTCACAGGGAGTCTGTTGTGGGGAGAGGAAGGGAAAGGAGTTTGTAAGCCGCTCTGAGACTCTGAGTGAAAGGCGGAGTATAAATACAATCTCTTCTACTCTTGCTTTGGATGCCCCTGCCATCTGAGGGCTAGACGGGTGGCAAACCAGAAAACAGCCTTCTCAGTTGTGGCACCAAAACTTTGGAACTCCCTCCCCACAGAGAGTCATCTGTCTCCCTCTATTATTGTCTTCCACAAGAGGGTGAAGTCTTTTTTGTTGCTGGGTGCTCCCTCACTAACTAATTCATATTAGCCCTCCTCCCTGTTTGTGTGTTTATATGTTTTATTTGTATGATAGAGATAGATAGATAGACAGGCAGACAGACATATATATATATCTATATTCTGGCCACTGTTTTAATGTTTGTAAAGGTTTAATATTCTCTCCCTTATGGACCCTGATTTGGGTGGAAAGGCAACATAGTGATGTTTTAAAATAAAAAAGACATTGCATTGTTTTCCACTTGCTTTTGATAACTTTTGTTTATCTTTTTACTGTTGTTTTAACCCCTGTTGTGACTTGCCTCAAGCAGAGCTATCTGGCCACAAATAATCAAAATAAACTCAACAGTAAATTGTATGAAGAAAGATGGAGTAAAGAAACAACAAACATACCAGTGGGCACAATATACTCTGAGACTGCAAAAGAAGCAAACATCAATGTGATGTGACTTCAGCCCATGCCTTCCTTTTCTCTTCTCACAGACTTCCACAACTTTGCTAATATGTCTCTCTCGACAGTTGACATCCTTCATCCATTACTTAATTGGAGTGACTTTTTCCCTTAGGCACTCGTTTCTACTGTCTTCCACTTCTCTAGCAGAGAAACACTAGCTATACTTTCTCCCTCTTTCAGCAGCCCTTTTACTCTAGGATTGAGGGGGTGGAGCTTTACATGCTCAGATGCTCACACACTGTTCCTCAATTATCCTTCTGTGAGAAGAACAAGCACTATAATCTCATTCCTTGAAGAAGAAAAAAAGCCTCTGTATTGGTTGATTTCTGTTCCTTCCAATAAAAAGCAAGGTCTTCTCAAAGATTAATGAGCCTCTCTAGCTTCATCAAAAGTGAGATGTACTCTTTTCAATAAGGGACATACTTGTGAAGGATCCAACACCCCGAGATTATTGAAAAACTAGAAGACCTGAGTAATGTCAGTGGAAGTTGATGTAGTGTATGCAAGACCTAGATTAAAATCCCCACTCTGATATGGATGCTTGTTGGGTGACTTTGGACCAGTGTTGCACACACTCAGCCTAACCTACCTCACAGAGTTGTTCTGAGGATAAAATAGAAGTAGTAGAGAATGCTGTAAGCCACTTTGGGTCCCCACTGAGAAGAAAAAGAGAAGAACAGAAAAAGTAAAGTAGTACACTTTTATCCTACCTTTCCTCCAAGGGGCACAGGGTGGTTACGCCATTCTCCCTTCCTCCATTTTATCCTTGCAAGAGCTTTGCCAGGTAAGAGGTTGAGAGAGAGGGACTGGCCCAAGGTTACTCAGAACGCAATCCTAAATAGGTCATCTCAAAATCATCACTGAGGTTGATTTAAGGCAGCTTACTCCCATGAACGTTTTCTCAGAATAGTACTGCCTCTAAGTTTCTTGATTTGAATTAGAGTTACCAACTCCATGTTGGGAAATTCCTGAAGATCTGGGGGTGGGCCTGGGGGAGGGCAGGGCTTGGATATAATGCTATATAATGCTCAGCAAGGATATAATGCTATAAAGTCTACCCTCCCAAGCAACCATTTTCTGCAGGGGAACTGTTCTCTGTAGTCTGGAGACCAACTGGCAACCCTAGTTTGAAACTGGATTTCATAGATCTTAGTCCAACTGCTCGACCATTGCACCATTGCAGGTGTGTGCCTATGCTTGAGTTCACAGTCCTCTGTTATTACTAGACAACAGATTCAAATGGGAAGTATAGCAGCTGCCCCCAGCCATAAAACAGGCTAATTTCCTTCTTGAAGGATTTTTTTCCTGCAAGACCTGTCCTTGTGAAGCTTACAGAATGCAAAGTATCACAATCCACTGAAGAGCTAGATTTCAGTCCAGTAGCCTTAGAGACCAACAAGATTTGGGGGGGGTATACGGTTTCAGGATTCAAAACTGACTCATGAAAGTGTATACTCTAAAGAACTTGTTAAACTGTAAGGTGATACTGGACTCCAATCTCACCCTTCTACTGCAGAGCAACGTGGCTACCCTCCTGAAACAACCCATTGGGACGTGTAGCTTCCCAAAAAAGCTTCATGAACTCATCTTCCTAATTTTAGGTTAGTGGTTATTTACATATTTACTTATTAAATCTAGTCTTTCTAACCAACAGGATCCAAGGCAGAATACAAATGCTTCAAAATAAACATCACAGCAGCATGTAGCACAAAATCATCTGAAATGCTAAAATACAGCCTTCAGCTCAAACTTTCTAAAGACAACATGCTCTTAAATGCCCTTTTTAAGAGTTCTGCTTTACATCATTTCCAAGCAACCATGAGAGCGGGTGCCTTCCTGACCAACTGCGGCATGCTGACATACAAGGGGTAGCTGTAGTAAAAAGCCAGTGTTCAGGCAGAAACAGTTCTCACCACCTTACAGGTGGAAATAGACAAAAAAAACCCTGCTGAGACAAACAGAACTTCCACATATAGGCTTATATAGGGATATGAGCCTATGTGGCAGTTCTGCAAGCATGAAGGTCTCAGGCTGGGAAGGGTTTCAAAAGTTTAAACCAGTATGTTGGACTGAGTCCAGAAATGATCAGGCAACCAGTACAGAAAATCTCAAACCAGGCTCAATGGGCAAAGCTGTCAGCTCCAGTCAACAGACCAGTTACAGCTTCTGAATTGCTGTGAAGGGCAGTCCCAGGTAGATGTGTTACAACAGTGTAGCCTTTAAGTTAAAAGGTAAAGGTTCCCTTGCTCGAAAGCCAGTCAAGTCCGACTCTAGGGTTGCAGTGCTCATCTCCGTTTCAAAGCCGAAGAGCCAGCGCTGTCCAAAGACGTTTCCGTGGTCATGTGGCCGGCATGACTACACAACCAAGGCACACAGAACGCTGTTACCTTCCCACCGAAGTGGTACCTATTTATCTGCTTGCAATTTCTTGCTTTTGAACTGCTAGGTTGGCAGGAGCTGGAACTAGAGACGGGAGCTCACTCCGTCATGCGGTCTCGAACTGCTGAACTACTGACCTTCCACAGCCTGCAGAGTTCAGCATCTTAACCACTAGAGCCACCGCAGCTCCAGCCTTTAAGTTACTGTAGTATAAATTTGCTAGACTGAGTCCAGAAGGGACCAAGCATAACTGACAAGCATTTTTGGTCATCATATCACATTTCTGTAATAGCGGGACTGGATCCTATAAGACTCCTACAATGCAATCCTAGGCCTTTACTTCACTTCAAGCTGATTGGTTTCAATGGGTTTAGAGAGGAGTAACTCTGCACACGTGCACAAAATTGCACAGCTAATCCAGAGTTCATACCTTTCTTCAACAGATTTCCCCCATTACACAAGAATGTCCTGGATTTATCTTTATTTAAATAGGTTTGATGCAAAACAAGCATAGCAATGACCAGTGCCACTCACACCCTGGGTCAGCAACTGAATACACCTACTCATTCTTTTCCTACAACTGTCTTTCCACTTGAAATGAGCAGAGCCCAGACATGGCTGTGCGTTCATGAAAGCATGAGAGGGAAGGGAAACATAATGCAGTCTGACTGCAAATTACCCTTCTCTACGAATACGCTCTGAAGCCACTGTGTAGGTACTGGCACAGGGGGCAAAACTAGGCTGCTACCTGTTTCTGGTTTCTCCAGAAAGTCTCCCCCTTTCAAAACACACACACAAAAACCCAAATAAAATCCCATCTACTCCGAGAAAGAGAGATTTCCTTAAGACTCCTGTTGGAAGAGATGCCTGCGCGGCCAAGCCTCCATTCCTTCCTCGCCGCGCATCTGGGGCATTTCGCCGGGGGACTGAGTGGAAGAGGCGGCGCCTCAGCTCAGGGCTGTTCCCGAGAGCCCTTTCATCGGGCGCGCCTTCTCAGCTGTTCAGGCGGCGGGAAGAGGCGATTTGAGGCGTGTGTGGCTGCGCGCGTCGCGTGCTAGAGAGAGCGCCCGCGGTCAGGCGGAGGAGCGCCCAGACGCGACGCCGTCCAAGCGATTAGGCGGGACGGGCTCGAGGCTCGGCTTCCCCCCTCGCCTCTGGTGGCGGGGATCTTTCCGCGGGGCACTTTCCCCTTTCTTCTGATTCGGGCCGAAGTGCGCCTTTTCTTCCCTTTGTCACTCCCCACCCTCCGCCCATGTCTTGGCTGCCTCGCTGTGATCTGCGTGGATGGAAGGAGGGAGGAAAGGGGGAGAAAGAGGAGGGAGAAGGCGGGGAAGCTGCCGCTCGGGCGCGGTGGCGGGAAGGCGGTTCTGGGCTGCGTCTGCCTCTAGCAACCCCCTGAGCCCGTCGGGGGGAGCATGAAGCACCATGGTGTGGTGCGACCGTGGGGTCCAGATGCTGCTGACCATGGTGGGTGCCTTCGCCGCCTTCAGCCTCATGACCATCGCCATCGGCACCGACTACTGGCTCTACTCGAACGCCAACATTTGCAACGGAACCAACATTACCATCCCGGACGACACCTCGCAAAGCCAGCCCAAGAAGGTGAAGGGGGACCTCACCCACTCCGGGCTCTGGAGGATCTGCTGTATTGAAGGTAACCAGGCGGGAAGGGCGAGAGTGGCCGGGGGGCGTGGGGTGGGGTGGGGGTGGAGGGCTCTGTGTGTGTGTGCGTGCGCAGGAGCCCGCGCGCAGCGGAGAAGCTGACGGCGGGGAAGAAAGGGAACAAAGAACGAAAAAAGATTCGGGAAAAGTGTTCAACTTCGTCGGCTGGAGTGGTTGGGAAGGACTAACGGAAGGGGAGATTAGGGCCGGCGGGCGGGCGCTTTTCTCTTTTCCCTGGCGAGGCTTTGTGGAAGTGGCTCCCCGCTCTACACAGAAAAAGACCCTCCCCCTCCAGATGCAGCAGCCTAGTTGGTACCTCTGAGCTGATGCTGTCTGGGAGGGAGGATGTTGTTGCCGTGGCAACCGTGTATCTGATTGCTATGGGAACCGGACATAGGGAGGTGATGCTTAGCCCTGGGTGTCTGCTTCTCTCCAGCGCTGCACAGTCCTTACCCTTTTCCCTGGGCGCCTTGGCATGTTGCTCTGACAGGCAGAAAGAAGAAGTTGGAGATGGTGCTGATGTTGTTTTATTCCCTGTTAACACAGTTTGTTATTCCTAAAGGTTTAAATCTTAATGACAGAATATGTAAGTAATAAACACAGAATATATAAGTAAGTAATAAATGTTGATTAGTGTACATTTACAAGTTTGGTTGCACTTTGAGGAGCAAGACCTGTCAGGAGACAGTTTGGAGAAGGAAATAACAATGTTGAAGGGCTATAGCAGAACAAATCCCATAAGCCCCAGATGAGGGAAAGTGTACCCGCTAGCCAGATGCCTAGTCTAAATGCCTGTCTTGGAAAGAAGTCCATCATGAGAAATGCACCCCGCACACTGATTGCATGCAATGGGTTCCTTAGCTGAAAGTTGCCATGCTTCAGCAGCCCCAGTTCCAGCTTCACTGGTTAATATTCCTTCTATGTTAGGAGAGTTAATACTGACTCTGTGATGGCAGACAAGAGATAAGCTTAGAAGGGAAGCTGTTCGCTTCTTACTTCACTTTAGCTTCTGGAGTGGAAGAGGGGTTATTCTTTCCATATTAATGTCCTTGGCATATCAGCTTCAGCACACCTAAGTCAGTCATTGCAACTTAGCACGCACAAAGTTTACAAACTAGGTTTTCCAGGTTATTTTGAATGACAGGTGGCTCAGAAGCACAAACAAACCCAGAGGCCATCATTCCTGTTAAAAAGTGGTTATAATGATCTAGAACAAGCTTGTACCATTTTTTATTTTCTATAACGATTTAGGGATACAGGCTGTCCTTATGAATTTGTAATCAGAAATAAACCCCACTGATTTTATTGGGACTTACACTCAAGTAAGTGTACCTATGGACTGTTTTCTTAGAATGCAGTTCTTAGCACACTTCCCTGGGAGTAATTGACTAGGCAAGAGAAATTATCATTTTGATTATATAGATGTAAAAACTGTTGGATCCAATTGGTCAGCTGTGTTAGTCTGGAGCAGCAGAACAAAGTTTGAGTCCAGAGGCACCTTTCAGACCAACAAAGGTTTATTCAAGGTATGAGCTTTCGTGTGCGTGCATGCTTTTTACAAATACTGTTGATCAAAACTGTTGATTATCCTGGGATGCTACATACATGTTTTGATTTAAAGTAGATGGGCATGTTGCAGTCTTGCTCACCTCATCAATTAGCTCAGTTTTTCCGAGTTTTCTCAAAGAGTATGGTTTTTGAGCTTATGGTTACATGAAAAAGCTCAGAAAGGCTAACTCATCCCTAGTTCTTCAAGCTAGTCCCCACTTCCCAAAACTTACCCTGGTAAAGAGTGGCAGCGGCAAAGTGGACTGTTGTGGATGGCATAATCGGGGGCAAAAGCCTAATTTTAAAGGTCTAAAAATGTCTGCATATTCTCTGTTGCCACTGGGAGCCAGGGGAAAGAAGAAGAAAAAGAGTCCGTCTTAAGGAGTTTCAAAGTGACTTTCAATCACATTCCCTTCCCCTTCTCACAACAGACAACCTGTGGGGCTGAGAGAGTTTTGAGAGAATGGAGACCAGTGTTCCCTCTAAGCTGAGTTAGCGTGAGCTAGCTCACAATTTTTTTAGCCTCCAGCTCATACATTTTTGCCTTAGCTCGTGAAGGGTGGCTCCAGAGCAAACGAATTTATGCAGTAGCCTAATCGCTCGCTCATAACTTTAATGCTGGTAGCTCACAAAGTAGAATTTTTGCTCACAAGACTCTATGGCTTAGAGGGAGCATTGACTGTGACTGGCCCAAGGTCACCCAGCAGGCTTCTGTGGAGGACTGGGGAATCAAACATGTTTCTCCAAATTACAGTCCACTGGTCTTAACCACTGTACCATGCTAGTGGTGTAGCATCAGATGTTCCATTACTCAGGCTCCCTAATACCAACTGGCATTCCACTGGAACAGCCAGGCCTTAAAGATTAGGCCTTTGCCTCGGCTGAAGTGCTGCATGCCAGCTTTCCCCCTTCTGCCTCCCAATTCTCAATCAGCAAATATTCTTCCTGGTCACTGGTCCCCTTACCTTTTCTCAGAATTTACTTTGGTGGGAGATAAAGGCCATACCTTTAAATGCTGAATGCTGCTGCAAAATGTTCATTGCAATCAGTGGAGACAAGAATTGGACGCTGTATTCTTCAGGGCTCTCTGGTAGCTTTGGATAATCCACAGAAACATCTAGGCCTCAAAATGGGTCCTTTGCCACCTCCATTTTAGCTGTCCTTGTTATCAGCCCCTCTCGGCCTGGAAAATCTGGGGAAGGGGGGCACTAATGGCAAAGAGTATGGACTGGTGGTAGGGAGTGCTAGTGCTTGGGATGAGCCATTGCAAACGGAACCTAAAAGTTAGGGCTTGACTCATTGTTGCCTATGTTGGGTGTTTTTTGTTTACCATGCTTCCTTCTGCATCTTAGTATTATAATGAGTTGAAATGATAACTGAGATAACTTTGTAATTAAAAAAAGGGAATGGGTATTGGTCTGTGTTTGCATAGCGTCGAACTTAGAAACATCCATTCATCTCCAGTTAACTGGCGATGGGGGAAAAACCTTTTCTTCTTGGGACGCTGGAGAACTGTTGCCTGTTAGTCCTAACAGTACAGGACTAGGAGGACCAGTGGTCTGACATTCTGACTTGCTGAACTTATCAGGATCTCAGTATTTTCCTGTAGTTGGAGATAATTTAAAATATATATATTTAAATTATCTCCAACTACAGGAAAATACTGAGATCCTGAACTATATATATATACACATATATAGTTCAGAGTTGGAGCACAAGGGTTGTGTACATAAGGTTGTAGGTTTAATCCCCAGCACCAAATAAAACAATATAATCTTGTAGTCTGGAAAGACCTCCCTCTACCAAAGTCCTTAGAGCGCTACTGGCAATCTACACAGAAAATACTGAGTTGGATGGGCCCAAAGCCTGACTTGACAGAAATTACTGGAATTTTTCAGGATGCATTGCAAGAGCAGTTTCCTCATCTCTGGTATAAAACTCTGCTTCCTGATAGAAATGCAATTTGTTCTTACCAAATAAAGAACTTCTGAAGACAGACCTTTTCAATGAAGCAGAATAGTCTTTTATTGAATAAACTTCTTGCAAGAGTAAGAGTACAGCTCAAAAGAACTGAACACACCTTTGATTCAGTTAATCAGCCTAGATATACTACCACCGAAGAGGTATGGAAAATAAGAAACACCCTATTTTGGCCACCATTGGCTGGTAACCAAAATGTATATTCTCCAATCACGACCGCTTAACTACACCCCGTGGCATAACGCCCATATTTGTTCTTCTGCTTTTTCTTGAAGCCCACTCCCTCAAAACCCCCATAGCCCACCTACTCAATGTTTATTTATTTCTGCCTATACTCCAAATAAGGTAATCTTCTTCACTGTTTCTCCTGACATTTCTTCATGGAACATCACAAGCCCATTCCTCAGCAATTGTGGTTACTACTTGTAGACACTTTTTCCTGTCAATAGGGTCTCAAAACCACAGAACGTTCTATTCCTATCCTTGTCTTCTTTCGAAATGCTTCTTTGTCCAAGGCAACTTCTCCTTTATGCTAGGTTAGCTAAAACTAAAGAAAAATACAATATTAGGTGAGATTACACACAATGAATTCCTTTACGCTAACTATCTACCTTTAAGATTTACTGGCACAACAGGCAAAAGTATTGTCAATAGTTCCACCGAATAACCAGGTACTTTCCAGGTTGTTATTGATTTCTGGTGTAGTGGCCCTACTCTTTTTGTAACTTCTGCTTTTCCTCAGCCAGTTTCAATCTTGTAGGCGGCCTACCTTTGGATTCGTCTGATTTCAGTTCCCTTATCCAGTAGGTTGTTTTTCTTAGCATTTTAATCCCAATAAGCAATCTTTATTCAGCATCAAGTGATAGATTTTTATTTCAATAGAGCAAGATTGTTTCTTTAAGCTTTTCTTGTCAAAAATCCCTTTTGCTCATTTCTCACATTCCAATAATTTAAAATGTAAAATTGAGAGATGTGTAGTATTTTATTTGTTTGAAACATTTTTGTGCTGCCTTTCTACTGAACCTAGGGTCCATAAGGTGGAGAATTAAAAAAATGAAAACAGTTAAAACACACCAACTAGAAGTGAGGGAACACCAAATAAACAGTGAGGGAACACCAAACAAAACAGAAAAGTCTACACCTGCTGTTGGAAAACAATAATAGAGAGGGACAAATTAACCTCCATGGGGAGGGAATTCCATAATTTTGGCACCATGACTGAGAAGACCCTTTCTTGGGTTGTCTAGCCTCAAATAGCAAGGGCAATCAAAGCAGAGTTTCTGAAGATGACTACAGTAGTCAGTTAGGTTTGTGTGGGAGTGGGCAGTCACTAGCTATATAGGGCTTTAAAAGTTAATATGAGCACCTTGAATTGGGCCTGGAAGCAAGTTGGAAGCCAATGTAGGTGGAGCAAAACCGGACGGATGTGGACCCTGCAACCCACGCCAGTCAGGTTACGTCTTT